CATGTACAAAGCCAGCACTACATAGTGGCAGAGGAGGAATGACACCAATTAAGAAATAAGTAACGTGCAAGCATGCTGTGTCCTTGCAAATTGTGACAGCCACTACTGGAATACATTGTTTAACGTTGAAAACTAAAAAGTATGTTTCCATTGAGTGTTGCAAGGATTGGTACATTACAGTGAATATTTTGTCTGTTGTAATAAATACTAGTTAGTTTGTCAATTCCACATTTAAATAACTACAGAAAATCCATGAAATCATGAGCTCTAGATTAAATAAAGCAGCTGGCTCCTATGCTCAGCATCTTTTCATGAAAATGAAAGCCGCAGCAATTCTGGCAGGGGTAAAAGTCTTGCCCAAAGAAGTATAGCACAAAGGACGCTTGGGTTCTTTGCCAATTATGTAGTGCTTACATTACTTGCTACTATTGGTGATAAACTAAAACAGCTGGCTCGTGTGTCTGGCATTCCATTTATTTTATGTCAAAGAGAGCTGCAGCAATCTGGCAGTGGGGCAAGTCTTACCAGAAAACATTAAAACAGCACAAAGGATGCTTGGTTTCTTTGCAAATAATGTAGAGTGCAGACATCACTTGCTACTCTTTTTATATTGGGTCAAAGAGAGCCGCAGCAATGCTGGCAGTTGTGCAAGTCTCACTCTAGAAAAATAGCACTAAAGACAATAATTCATTGCAAGATTACTCCCAAGCTGTTGAGTAAATACCGACTGTGCCAAGTATAAAATGGCTAATGCATGCCTCTCATTTTATTCTCCATCAAACACCATTACCTTTTACTAGTTTGAACTTGCTGACAATGAGCGGAAATATAAGCCAATGTGGAAGATGTGGGGGTGCCTGCAAAGATTTAGTTAGGCATTTCCCTTATGCCTTTACCATTAAAGCAAAACCATAAAAGTAACATACTGGTTGCTGAAAGTATTGCCAGCACTGCAAAGGCTCGGCATAGCCACTGTTTTGTTCAAAGTTTAGTGCTAATAAAGAGAATGACCAGCCGAGCTGTGCCCCGCCATTGCACCAATGGGTAAGAAAAGAGGAATGGGCAAAAGAAAACACACTGATGCAAGGGGTGTCACTTTGGCGTCATACTACCAAAAAGAACCAGTGTGCGCATGGATCGTAAATAGCTGCTTGCTGAATTGCGACACGCAAAAGAGCGCCTCGTGGATCCGTCACGCCAAAACATCAAAAGATGATCCGAACGGCAAAAAAGATCCGAAAACCCGGATTTGAACCAGGGACCCCATGATATCTTTCTTGCGTACTCAACTTTTTGGAAGTCTACCCGCTTTAAACTACAGTCACGTGCTCTACCAACTGAGCTATTTTCGGCCGCTTGTTACAAGGATTCTTGGGGAGCGTAGATAAACCTTTTAGATCGGTTAGTACAATGCCAAGCTGCTAAATTAGATTGATGTCAAAACAGCGGCGAGCTGCACGGTGATAATGTTTTCTTTTCTGTTGTTTAAATTGGAAGTTATAGTTTTAAATCTGTAATGTAGCGGTTCTATCGTGTGCGGCCCTTCGATGCGAGCGTTAGCGGCACGCTGTTCTTTTGTATCCAGCTCGTTGGCACACGGCTATATTGGCGCTCAGCTCTTTGTGTGAGTCTTTTGTACGTGGCTCTTGTGGTGCACAACGCTCTTGTGCGCGGCTCTAGCGGTGGACAGCTCATTGTGCACAACTCGTTGGCCCACACAGCTCTTGAGGTACACTGCACTTTCGTGCGCAGCTCTAGTGGTAGGCAGCTCGTTGGCGTGCTCAGTTCGTTGGCGCACACTCCTCGTTGGCGTGCTCAGCTCGTTAACATACAACCTTTTTGTGCACTGTATATTGCTCTAGTTAAAGCTTTTGCATCGATACACTTCTTTATAATAGATGTTGGTCTTCATATTGAGCGCATACAATATAATCAGTCTCTTGTATAAAGTCTTTGCATTGCTACAATTAGAATATAACTCTGTTATATGTTTAATGTCTGTACTATCTTGGCGCCGTTGCTGCCTATACAAATAATGATGGTTGTTTATATACACCAACAGAAATGTATTCAGTGTCGTTTCTCTCATATAAAACATAATGTGCGCTATATGAAAGAAGCAATTGCATTTTGATTGTTAAATAGCTGTAGCACCATAGAGCTATGCACACTAAAGAACCATACATTAAAGAACAGTGTTACAACGCGATGTGCGCCGCTAGAGTTGTGCTTCATGGATTCAGTAAGATAATATGGCGCACCTAGCATTAACGAGTTGCTAAATGTAAATTGCTAATTTAAATGACACAGTAAATAAACTCAGCTATGAAGCTCGCACAGCCATTACTCGTGTCGTGGGTAGGTGATCTGAGCCAATTAGTCGACTGATGGAGGAATGCCAAAACGAATGTCCAAAAACAGCCTCCAATTTATTATTCCGTCAATTATTGCTAACCATGTTGACAGCGAGGCAGCACCAACATAAATTGCCTTGGCCAGATCAGCAGCTTTTTTGCTAAAGCACTTTCCACAAGATGTACTGCAGCAACAGACTGCAGCAGCTGCTGCGATTGCTCAATAATCTCCACGAACCCATGGCATTGTGGTTGATGTTTTTGGTATCCAAGCAAACCACCGTTTTCAGTCTGCAATTGACGGTGCACAATTGCAATAGTTTTGTCTAGTTTTCTATTAAATCTTTGATGGGGACTGCCCTCAAAGCAACACTCGTTGAATGATTTAAATGTTGTTATTCAAAGTATACTCTGAATTATCTCTGGTTGCGCGTGTGATTCATGGTTTGTTCTACAGACATGAACCATGCCGCATTGCTCAACAAAGCTAACTCCAGCTCAGTTTATAAAAATAATGATCAACCACGCTCATGTGTG